TGTTGGGGATCTTGGATGGTGCTTGCCGGCCGTTGTTGTTGATTGGCTGTCGGGTGGCTGTTTTTGTTTCTTGCTGCTTTCCTGCTTGTGGGTTATTTATTGTTTCTTGGTTGGTGAATGTGTGCGTGTGCGTGTGCGCGTGTGCGAGTGTATCAGGCTTTTTCTGGCTCGTTGCAGCCCCTAACCTTTTCAGAGGCAGGTGGAGCTTCGGGCACAAACGAAGATCGTATCCAAAGCTGAGAAAGGGTGCAAAGCCAAGTTCATGCCAAAACGATGTGCAAAAACCTTACATGTGTCACGGAAAAGCAGACGACGACAAGCCCTCCACTCCTCCTCGTCCTGTGCAGATACCCTGATACCCTGGGAGGCTCGTTCAAACAGCCCGCACCTCTGCAGTGCGGCACAGGGCGGTAAGGCCACGCCCGCGGCGGTGCTTCCTAGCTGGGGCTCTGAATAGCGAATAGAACGGCACCTAAACAAGTATGGACACGAAATGCCCTGAACCTCTAAACAAGACTGCTTCAACAATGGACACCAGTTGGAAAATATCCACAGCTTCAGCTTGCCATTCCTACTACGAGCAAAGACTAACAAATGCTACTGCTCTTTGCTGTGGGCTTCTCGCCTTATGCCTCAAACCATAATGACACATGCCTCTACCCTGCTACAAACAGCGAGTCATCAGAGTCTCTGTTGACTCCACTAAGTAGAGACAGAATCATCGGAAGAATCATGACGAGCGAGCTCTGTCACTCTAGAATTACATGAGTCCTTAACCTGATACAAGACTGACGGACTCTTTTGAGGATCGGAATAAAAGAGATGTAGGGAACCGGAATCCTTGCACATAGTCCTTCCAAAAGCCTAGTGTGATAAGACCTTCCTACCACCATCAGCAAGCCGAACCAACCCTCCCTCTTTATCGCGTCCTTTGGACCCCTTAGGGCCCAGGCTGCAGGTGAAGCAAGTTCGCGAAGAGGTCGCCTCCCTCGTCACCTTTCGCATCCTTGACCTGCCATACTTGGGGGGCTTGAGCTTGGGGCTTCACCTGATTTTGGGCTTGGGGTTTAGGGTTTAGGGTTTAGGGGTTTGGGGTTTAGGGTTTAGGGTTTAGGGTTTAGGGCTTGGGGTTTAGGGCTGATGATGGTTTAGGGCACGGGTATTCGAATTGACAATCGACCACCGAGCCCCAACGAAAGACAAGCTAATGTAGGGCACTTAATAATTAGAATAGGGTTTTGGGGTCCTTTTACAGTATCATTATAAATTATAATAAGGACCCCCCAACAAAAAATAAAACATAGGTAATTATTGAGACCACTACATTACAGCAATGGCCTCGCAAGAGCCTTCAGCCATGAACCCTACCCTGCACTACCTGCGCTGCTACGGTCCTGCGATCCGAAGCCACGATCTCCGAAAAACCTATATTTATCTTCCCAAATAACCCAAGGGAAAAAACAAGAAAAACAGTTTCAGAGTACTTAAACCCTAAACCCTAAACCCTAAACCCTAAACCCTCTTAGCTATAAGAGCCCAAGAAGTCTAAAGGTTGGCTATTGGAGAACTAAGTAAAATCAGCCCTAAACCTGCGCTTCAGCTCATGACACACCCTAAACTCTGAACCTGAAGCCTTCGCACCGAACCCAAAGTGCTGGGATATCTTACCCTCTCCCTCCAGGTACCTACTATACAGGGCCTTAGGGGCTCTAGTACCCTATAAAGTAGGTAACTGGGGGGTTAGGGTTAGGGGGCCTTGGGGGGAGCTAGGATTTAGCCTTCATGCGGCCTCAATCCCAGGTTTCGGGACGTCAAACACAGTACATCTCCGAAGTAGCGACAAAAGCAAAACCGAGGAGCCCGCCGTGACTTAAGGCGCAGGAGATGGTTGGGCTTTCAGGATTTAGTCTTTGGGTGTTTGGGGGGATACGGTGTAGGTGTTAAATGCCCCTACCGATGTGACCACTCCCGCTCCTCGACCCATTCCCTCACTCCGAACTGCTGTGGCCGAGCCAGGCACCCGTAGCAAAGGAAGCAGGTCTGCATGAAGCATTGCCTTTCAACTTTGGAAAGCGGACGCTCTCAGCACCAGGGGCGTTTGGTTTTTGCGAACTTGAGACCGTGCCCAAACCCCATAGCAACAGCTGTACGTGCAACCACCAGGGCCACTCTACTTGCCTTCTGAAGGTTTGGGGTGACGTAGTAAGCGGGTTGTACCCAGGCTACCTTCGAGCACTCACCCGCTTCCTCCAAGCTCTCGCTGGTACTCAAGCTCTCGAATGCTTTCAAGCTGTTTCGGGATGCGACCTTGAGGCATAGCCCGCTTTGTGCTCGAGAATTCGGGTTTTGTAGCTTGAGGGTTAGCGTTGGCTGACTTCAGACAATGGGGCGGCACGAATGATCATGACGATGGTTCCTGCACAATCTCTACATCACTCAAACAACACATGTTGCTCAACACCGTGCTTCTTCTCATTAGGCCTAAACCCGAAACCCAAAACCGTTCATCATCAGGCCTACGTACATGTAACCCTACAAAAACCAAACCAGACAACAACTGCTGAAGCTCAAACCCTGAAACCTTGAAGCCCGGAATCCCGAAGCCCAAACCCGCAGCAACTCCTCTGTAAGATGCAGGGGCCTGAATAATTAGAAGAGGGTTTGGGGGAATAGTTTTGGTAGTTATTTAAGCTTCTATAGGAGGCTCCACTGTAATTGCTTTTTGTGGATTATATTTAGGATCCTGAATATAAACAACAAAAGCGAACTACAGTATGGGTAAAGCCACCCAAACCCTGCCTCCGGACTGGAGCCAAAATTCGCTGCTTCGTCCCGACCTTTCTGCCTGGCTCGGGCAACCCTGTTCTTCGTACTATTAGGGTTAGGAACATCATGGAAACTGTAGGGTTTCAAGAGAGGATACCAGGAGTCTCAGGCAGACCTACTGTCAAGATTGGGCTGAGGGTTCAAAATCGCACATTTGTGGACGTAGGGGTTTCAATGAGGCTAATTGACTATCCGAACCGCATTTTCCAAATTCCATACCAAAGCGGAAAGTCCTGTTAGAAACCAAGATCTCAAAGCCAGGAACCCTAAACCCTAAAC